CGACACGTGCTGACGGATGCTTTTAGGTCGCTACGGCGGTGGCGGACGTGGACGCGGCGGCGGAGGTGGAGGACGCGGCTACGGCGGTGGCGGCGGTGGCGGACACGACAACGGATACGGCGGACGGAATAACGATCGCTGGTAAGGTGGTGTCGACAGCGCCATCTCCCCCGATCGTGGCGTCCGCTGCTCTGCCGTGCGTGCGCTGTGTGCCGCCGCGCGAGCTGCGTTTTCTGAGAGTGCGTTGTGTTGTGCGGTTGTACGTTGCATTGCGTGTGTCGGACATGCGTTCCCGTCTTAGAGCTGATACCGGGTAGTCTGTCGTGGTCATCTGTCATCATCACCATCCCTATGTTTGTTGCATTCGTTTAGGTTTGCAGCTCGTAATGCCATCCGGCGGGCCCAGGGATTCCTGCCCCTGCCGCCTTCATGATATCATCCTCTGTCGACTCCTCTCGGCTTGCGATCGGGGCGGCTGCTCCCTGTCAGCGTTTGCTGCGGCTGCTCGTCTTGTCTCTTGTCTCTCTGTTCTCTCCCTCCCTCGAGCTCGTCGCACATGTTGTTTGGGTATTCGCTCCGTCCTGCAATCGACACTGCGAAGTGGGTCGGACACTTGCTCATCCACCCGGTGCGAGGTGCCGTCATGGCGTGCTTTTCGGATGCTGACTGAGCTCTCTTCGTGGTTTTGTGGGATTCGCACGGCCCGGTCTGTCTTGCACTTGCACTGCGGTACGTAGCCCCCGATGAAGAAGCAAACGCTGAATGTGGCGGGCTTGTCTGTGAACGTGTTCTCGCTCGAGGAGCCGGGCGAGGACGGGGACGGGGACGAGGGCAAGGACGGGAGACAGGAGACGAAAGAGAAGAAGAAGAAGCCGGTGGCGGTCATGTTCCTGCTGCATGGGCGGATGAGCAAGGCGGAGCATATGGAGTATGTTGCGAAGGCGTTTCTGGATGAGGTGCATCAGAGACGGAAGGGCGCTGCGGAGGGCGAGGAGGTGTTGGATCTGTGGATTGTTACTTTCGTGAGTGCTGCGTGCTGCGCTTGTGTGGGGGCACAATTCAGGGGAGGTGAAGTGCTGACGGTGATGGGGCGCCAGGATCATAGGAACCATGGGTCGCGGGTTGTGGATGGGCAGGCGAATATGGCGTGGAGCGATGATGCGAGCAAGAGGAATGATAAACACGCGTGAGTCTGATTCTTGTGTACATAGTACAGATGGACCCATGCTGATTATATTGTGCTATGTAGAATCGACATGTATGCTATCCAGAGTACGTCCCTGTCACTCCCGTACCCGTCCACCTGAGAAGTGCTGACCGCGGCACGGCCTGCATACAGCGGGGACGGCGCAGGACGTGTCGGCGCTGATCGACTTTCTGCCGTGGTATCTGTTCCCGAACGAGGAGCGCGTGGTGAAGGAGTGGATCGTGTCCGGGATCAGCCTGGGCGGGCACTCGACGTGGATCGCGCTGAAGAACGGTGCGTCGTCCGCTAGACCTTCTGTAGGCTTTGCTCTGGTCTACTCTGGTCTGACGGGTGCTGGGTGCTGGGTGCTGCTGTAGACCCGCGGTTGAAGGTCGGGATTCCTATCATTGGTGAGCATGAGTACTGGGTGCCGGTGCAGTTCAGTGTGCAGGAAGGCTGAGACAGACGACGGCGCAGGGTGCCCGGACTACCTCGCGCTGATCGTCCCGCGGGCTGAGGCGTCGTCGATCCCGATCTCGCCGCCGTACTTTCCCAAGTCGTTCGTGGAGTACGTGAAGACGCACGACCCGGCTGCGGCGCGCGGGGAGGGGGCGGGGGGCGCGTTCTGGGGGAAGAAGATCTTGGTGGTGGCGGGGCGGGAGGACGCGGTCGTGCCGTGGGCGGCGTCGGAGCGGTTCGTGGAGGAGCTGGATGTTGGTGCGGAGGGGGAGGGGGTGAAGGAGGTGTTTGTGGAGCCTGGGGTGGGGCATACGTGTTCGGCGGGGATGGTGAAGGAGGCGGTGAGGTTTCTGTGGGAGCAGGTGTTGACTGAGCGGGACGTGGCGGCGGCCGCGTAGGTGTGCGGGTTTCGGGTCTTGGGTTGTGTTTGTACCGTGGGCAGATGGGTCTGGAATATGATATGGTATGATACACGAGCGTGTGGTGTATTCGAAAGCAGTTGCAACGTGATGTAGTGTACAGCAAAGCATCCCAAGCGATATTCCGTGTAACATGCGCATGTCCCGTCTACTTCTCTGGGAGGCGGGTCAGGCGAGGGTGTGAGGTGGAGAGAGGAAGGAGAGACGCACTCCCGAGCTTGAGCCACTTGGGCACTTTGCGCTCGCCTTCGCCGCTGGGGCTGCTGCTGCTGCTGCTAGTGCCGGTGATGCCGCCGAGGGTGCCGCTGAGGGTCTTCCCGCCGCGGGGGGCGTCCTTGTCGGCTTTGTCGTCTTTGGGCTCTTTGGGGTCTTTGTCGAAGTCGGGCGGGATGGGGAAGTCTTCGATGGCGGAGAGGACGGGGGTGTCGAGTGGGGCGGGGACGTCTGGGTCTGCGCGGGGATGAGCGAGAAGGAGGAGATGGAGATGGATATTAGAAATGGGAGAGAGGAGAGAGGAGAGACGTACGGTTGAAGCGGTCGTCTTCGAAGCGGATCATGAGCTGTGCTGCGGGGGAGAAGTCGAGCTCTGTGAGGGAGAGGTCGCGGACCTTTGGGTCGGAGACCTTGTATTCGCGTTTGGGCGGGGATTGGTCTTCTCCATGGAGTGTGAGTGCGGGGGATCGGGGAGCGCGGGGGGAGACTCACAGAGGACGAACTTGATGGGCTTGACGTCGTCGCGGAGGGAGCTGCGGACAAAGGCGTAGACGGCGCGGATCTTGTCGGTCGAGGGGAAGGTCTTCTCGAGGATGCTCCTGTCGGAGAACTTGATGCGGATCGTCGTCTGGGGCGGGGCTCGGGGTCAGCATCGGTGCACAGAGCGCACGGTACACGCACCTGGGGCCAGCGCGCGTGTCGCCGCTTTGTGTCTGCTTCGCGCATGGCTGCGGTGCGGAGGGGCGTGTTCTGGAGTGCGTCGCGGCGGGCTGTGAGCATGGCCTGCTGGGCGCGGACGTCGGCGGCGGTGGGGTCGAAGTAGTTGTCTGGGAGGTCGGCTGCGGGCGGGTATGTGGTTAGTGAGAGCGAGGTGGGGGAGGAGGAAGCGTACAGCGGGGCTGCTGAGCGGAGGACGGGGGGCGGAAGTAGCGGAATGCGGGCTTGTCGGGCGCAGACGGGGCTGGCTCTGCGCTGGCTGAGGCTGAGGGCGTGCTTTCTGACATTGCGGAGGAAGACGAAGTGGCGGACGGCTGGTGACGCACCGCTCATGTACGCGTCTCCGGCGTCTCAGCTGCCTTATCCGTCAACGTCGCGGGTGCCTTTCGTCGAGCTAACGCATTGTGTATTCTGCAATATATCGCCGAGATAGCTCAGCTGGGAGAGCAACAGACTGAAGTCCATAGCGTCCGGACCGATTTCTGGAGGTCGGGTGTTCAATCCACCCTCTTGGCATGGTTATTTACACTATCCCTTTTTGCTAGGGATCCGCATTTCGCCTCACCATGCAGCTGCACGCGTTGATTCTGATCAAAGGTCGGCACATCAATCTCCCACTGGTATGTATCGTACAAACGTCCTGCTGTCGACGAGGCCCGACTCATCGAATCTGCTGGTACATTTTAAATGGCGGGGACACAAAGGGGAACGGTTCCTCGTGGTCCTGCAACTTGTTCCTGCGGAGGTTGTGAGCGTTGAGCTGCCAAAGGGGGCGCAAGGACACGTACTCTGCAGGGCCGAGGATCTTGAGTCCGCGGACATGGGTGTCCTTGCCGTTCATGTGGTTCCCGATGATGATGATCTGCAGGATGTAGGCTTCGACTATTTTACTGCGCGCGGGGTCGTCAGCAGCGCACGCACGGACAGACGCAGAGGGGGAGGGGACGTACAAGCCGTCGCCGTCCTCGTTGGCCTCCATGGATGCGTCAAAGGTGATCCAGCCGTCGGGCTTCTCGATGGTGAGGTAGCGGATGTCTTGCAGGTCGCCGTGGCCGGTGCCTGCGCGGATCATGATCGTGGCGGGCGTGTAGGAGTCGTCGAGGGGGAAGCTGAGGTACATGGACACTTTCTGCGTGCGCGAGCGAGGCGCGGTCAGCGTGCGGTGGGCAGAGAAGGACGGACGCGCAGGACGGGGGACGGACCTGGATGGCGACCCTGCGGGGGAACTCGACGGTGATGAAGTGCGGCTGGGGCCCGTCGGAGCTGCATTCCCCGCTTCGGGTTTCAGCACGGGGTGCGGTGAGCATGGGGAGGGGAGAGCGCGGGGCACGTACTGCCAGAAGGTGTCCGGGTCCTCGTCTGTGAGGCACTCGGGGCCGAAGCCGAACTTGAAGGAGGAGACGGACCACTTGGCGAGGTGGCCGATGTCGGGCCAGGGCAGGCGCGGGGGCATCTTGCCTGGGACGGGCCGCGCGGTCAGTGGGTGGTTACATGGGTGCGACCTGCGACGCGCGGGAGAGGAGAGGGGACGTACCGGGGTGCATGATGGGCGCGCCGTCTGCTGCGGTGGCGAGGATGGTCCCTGAGGAGCCTGCGATGGGGATTCGTCTGCGCGCGACGATGGGGGCCCCGGGGATCGCGACGCCGCCGGGGACTGTCGCACTTGCGCTGGCCATCGCGTGAACTTGGAGGACTTGGAGATGCGCGTCGGTCAGTCTACGCGAGCACAAGGCGTGCGTTAGGCGGTGTGGTTAGTGGACGGCGGGTGGTTACGACACGGCGGGTGTTCGTGGTCGGCGGAAAGGATCCATGCCAGTCGCGAGCGCGCGAGTGCACAAAGGCTGCATTCCGAGGCGCCCGTGTTGCGCTCGCGAGACTGCACGCAGAACACTTGCATTCGCATCCGTGGTAGACAGGTCGTACAGTAGATAAGTATTGGGCAGAGGCAGGGCGAAAAAACGAAGAACAAGGACGGCAACAACAAAAACACACGACTATCAAAAACATGCCAAGAGGGTGGATTGAACACCCGACCTCCAGAAATCAGCATGGACGCTATGGCACTTCAGTCTGTTGCTCTCCCAGCTGAGCTATCTCGGCGATGCATGTAATGTGGAGGTGCGACCACACATTCCGAACCTACAAACCTTCGAAGGAAGCAGCCACAGACGCGTCTTGCTCTCCGTTACACCTCGACGAACTGCAATGGCGACAGAGAACGCGGAGGCAGGGCCATCCTCACCCTACGAAATGAGAATCACGAACCACGGAAAGATCAACGGCTGGGTGTCGTTCGCACTGGACCATTTGCAGGTGCGTGTACGCGCGGTTGTACGGGTGCAGCCACTCACTTCGCGCACGAATATGCAGAAACACGAAGACAGACCGCTGGTGCTGCACACGCTGCCTGCGTCCAAGGGCAAGGCCCGTGCTTCCGTGCAAGACGCGGTGGCCGAGGAGAAGACGAGCAAGGGCCTGCACCCATCCATGGCGACCATCCCGCGGCTCGTGTCTGTCGTGGAGATCATCAAGCGGGAGTACCTCAAGACGATGGACCCAGCTCTCGCGGAGGCCGGGTCGCTGTCTGGCCTGCATCAGTACAACGAGGTCGGGGACCTGGCGGACGCGGGCGCGGAGAACGCGGAGGAGGGCCGGCTGGAGTCGCTCGCGCGCGCACTGCAGGGGCGGAACCAGTGCGTACCGGACTCTGTCCCCATGGATGTCTGACTGAGAGCGGTCGCAGTGTGCAGCAGAAGAAGATGGCGTTCATGCGGGTGACGCTCTCGCGCAAGCCCCTCCCCGCGCTCGCTGCCTCGGGTGCCACGTGAGTCGTCCTGCGATGCGCGTGCGTGCTGCGTCTGACAGTGAGCAGATACCAGAGCCCTGCGGTGCGGAGGCTGAGCAAGACTGCCCGCGCACGCCTCAAGAACCGCGCTCGAAAGGCCGCCAGTAGTTAGTTTGTGGTTATTTACGATACGCGAATATAAGCCCGTTACCCGATATGGGTGTTTGGTGTTGGCAAACAAGAGGCGGCGTCGGGCTCGGGCTCATCGTCCACAACGTCCTCCTCGTCCCCGCCCCCGCGTCCCCGCTCCCGCCCCGCCCCGCTCGCCGTCCTCCGCACCGAGCTCGCTGTCTCATACGTCGTCAAGCATCCGCCCGCCCCCGAGTCTTTCGTCGTGGCTGATCGCCGGCGTGCTCTAAAACGGTCGGACGCGCCTGTGCCTCCGATGCCTCGACGCACCGCAACTCCCGCCACACCCGCGCCCCCCGCGCCCCTCCCCCCGCCCCCGCGCGACCTCCTCGCCCTCGCACAGTCCGACCCCCAATGGGCACACAACCTCCACGCCCTCCGTCGCAACTGGAAATGGGCCAACTTCTCCCAGTTCTTCTACACCTTCGCCCCCCTCCTCAACATGCCCGACGTCTTCCTCTCCGTGAGTACCTCTGACTGTCCCCATCGCCCCCGATCGACGTGTCATATCCCTCCGTCGTCCCTTCCAACACCCTCCGACACGTTCTGACGCGTCCGTTCCCCCGCAGGACATCGAGGACGACCTCGCACGCGGGACCAACGTCTATCTCCCCCGAATCATGTATCGTCTACTCTATACGCTCTCCCAGGACCGGAAACTGAGGTGTGTCCGGCTGCAGCTCATCCAGCGCTTACTCCGCTTACCCCATTCCTCTCCTAGTATCGACAATTGGCAGTCTGCCCTCCGTCGACAGTACCTCCGCCGCGACCCTGCCGCGAACCCGATCGGACCAGAGCCCGAGGTTCTCTCTCGTGAGTCCTCTCTTGCCCCGTCCGAAGAGGAGCAGGAAGAGGCGAAGGAGGACGTCAACATGGACGAGTCCAAGCCAGAGGAGGGAGCCCACTCTGACGAGAAGCAGTCCGGGGAGCCCTCAGCCGAGAATGCCCAAGGCGAGTCCTCATCAGAGCCCAAAACCGAGCCCGTAGAGGACGGCAAAGTCCCAGCGACGGACAAGAAAGAAGAACCATCCAAGACCGAGGACGAGCCCCAGGAAGAGAGCAGGGACTGGCTCGATCTCCCCATGCTGGACAAGCTCGACTCTCTCCACTTGCTCACCGAGTGGCAGTTCCAGAACCCGCATCGGGTGCGCCAAATCATGAAGGACGACGACGATGCCGCGAATTGGGTGCGTGCCATCTTGAGCCCACTTGCTTCCTGCTTACACTCCAGACTCGTACAGCGCATCGAGCCGATTGGTTATGACGCAAAGACAAACGCGTACTGGTTGATCGGACGTGCGCACGCTCCTTTTTGTGGTTTGTCGTTGTTGCTCACCTTCGCACAGCTGACCGTCTATGGATACAACGCGTACCACCCAAATCTCCCCGCAACCGTAATTTGAAGCGGAAACGACCATCCGCCCCTCCCAAGAAGCCGGCCCGCAAAGCCCCGGAGACGTCCTCTGACGAGGAAGAAGACGAGCCTGTCGCCCCGTCCAAGCGCACCCGCACCCAGACCAACTCCCGCTCCACCCGCTCGCAGCCACAGGCGAAAGCCAACGGCCGCTCCACGCGGGGCTCCCGCCGCGCTGCCGTATCTTCCGACGAGCTCGTCTCCCCGGGCAAGAGCACGCGCGCTGCGAAAGTGCAGGCGAACAAGAAGCTGGACTTGCAGGCGAAGGAGCTCGCGGAGTTCCAGCGGCAGGCTGCCGCGCTGGCGCGTGCGCAGACGAGTCCCCGGAAGGCGCGTGGTGCGGCGGCGAGCCCGGGGAAGCGGGATCGTGCGGTGGGGACGCGCATCAGTGCACGGCTGCGCGGCTCGGCGAGGGGAGGGGGTGGGGAGGAGGAGAGCGACGAGGAGTGGCAGCAGGTGCCGGAGGAGTGGTTGCAGGAGGATGCGGCGTCGGCGAGACGGACGAGGACGAGGACGCGGAGTAAGGGGAAGGCGAGGGCGGAGACGGAGTCTGAGGAGGATGAGCCTGAGGATGAGCCTGAGGCGGAGGCGGAGGAGGAGCAGGCGGACGCTGAAGAGGAGCAGCTGGCAGACGAAGACGAGGCCGACGCTGAGAAGGGCGGAGACGATCTCAAGGACGCAGGCGACGGAGACGATCTCAAGGACGCACGCGACGCGGACACAGACGACCTCTTGCAGAAGGCGGGACTCGAGAGCGGCAGCGTCAGCGACTTGACGGATCTGTCCGACACAGAGGAAGCCGAGGCCGATGCAGCTGAGGAGTCCGAGCCCGCGGACGCTCCTCCTGCCAAACGCCAGCGTGGTAGCGGCCGGAGGGGACGGGGTGGTCGTCGGAAGTCCGCTGCGTCGACGAGGACGAGGGCGCGTCGCGGACGTGCGGCTGCAGAGGCCCCGTCATCTCCGGCGAAACAGAAACAGAGTTCTCCGTCGAAAGCGAAGGCACAGTCAAAGTCGAACTCGCAGCCGTCAAATTCGAAGTCAAAGTCGGACGCGGACGGCGAGCCGGAGCCGGAGGAGGATCCGGAGATGGAAGAGCCTGAGCGGCCCCTGCCCGAAGGGTTTGTCGAGTGGGAAGCGGTACGTCATTTGTCTGAGCGGCTCGATGCGCGGGATCTCAGACCTGATTCATATTCTTTCGGTTGACAGATTGCTGTGACGCTCAGCGAGTGGGAGCACGTCGCTGATCCGTTCGAGAAGGCGACGCACTATCTCGAGAAGGCGCTGTACAAGATGCTGACGCAGAACATCGTGCCGCTGGTTACTGCGGACCTGCGGGAGGCGGAGCGGCGGCGGCGGAAGGAGGAGGCGATCGTGCACCGGAAGCGGTCGTCGAGGATTGCGATCAAGGAGACGGAGAAGGAGGAGGCGATGAGGGCGGCGAAGATGAGGGCGGAGGAGGAGGAGAGGAATTCGAGGGCGAGGAGGATGGAGGCGAGGCAGAGGAAGGAGGAGGAGGAGCGGGCGAAGCGCGAGAAGGCGCGCGAGCAGCGGGCGAAGGAGAGGGAGGAGAGGGAGGCTAGGGCGAAAGCGAAGGCTGAGCGGGCCGAGAGGTACGTCGTTTCTTTGCGTCGTCTGTTTGGAGGTGAACTGAGCTCGTGTGCTACGCCAGAGAGGACGCGGGACCGGAGGCTGGGAGGTCTACTGCGACATCAGTCAACGGCACCCAGCAGTCGTCGTTGCAGCCGAGCCGGATGGTCACTCCCAATGGGGTCCGTACGCCCGACTGGGTGCTCGATTGCGAGGTTTGCCACAAGCAGGGCGTTAACGTGGTTAGTCCTCGGTCATCCTCTATCTTTTTCTGTGACTGACAGCCTGCAGGACGACGGAATGGCCATGGTATCGTGTGGATCATGCAACCGGTGGCAGCATATCAAGTGCCACGACATCGCTGACCAGCGCGCCGGCCGCCCACGACGCGACTGGGAGAAGCAGCAGTTCTACTGCATGCGCTGCCGCCAGCGGGCGATGAGTGGCGGCGCGTACGGCGCGCAGAGTCAATCCTTGCACCAGCAGCAACAGTCGTACGGCTGGCAGCCAAGGACTGGGGGACCTGTCCACTTGCACAAGCCCGGTGGGATGGACCCGTACGCGCAGACGTCGGACATGCGGTACTCGCACTCGCAGTCTCACCGGTCTCCGGTCATGGAGAACAGGGGCGGGATGGCGTACCCGCAGCAGCAGCAGCCCCAGCAATATTTGGCGAACAACGTTGGTGCAACCTCGTACTCCCGTTCATCGTATCCTAACAGCGGCGTGTCCTTCCACACTTATCAGCCGGACCAGCGAGGGCTTTCCCGTGGAATACCGAGCACGCCGCAGGGTTCGTGGAGCAGTAATGGCGGCGGATACGGAGGCGCTGCGGATCCGTTGGCTGGGCGGATGCCTTCGTCGCAGTATGCGGCGGCGTATAATGGCAGCAGTATGTACGGTGGCAGCCGGATGCCGGTTGCGTACCAGGTAGGTTGGCATGTTCAGTGTGCCTTCGCAGGGAGCTAATTGTCTGCATAGAACCATCCCTCCCCTCCCATTCCGCAGTACACCAACGACCATGGGGTCGGCAGCATGTCGACGTCCCGCTGGCCGCCGTCGTCGTCGCATTCAAACGGATATCACTCGCCTGCGGCGGTGCAGGAGGCTGCGCAGTCGCTCGCGTTCATGCACGACGGGGCGGGCGGCAGCGCAAGCCGGTACGGGAACACGAGCTGGCCGGCGCAGACGCAGACGTCGTCGTACGGGCAGATAGCGGCGTCGTCGTCCCAGCCTGCGTCGCACCACTCGCATGCGGCGTATGCGCCGCCGCCGCCTGGGATTGACCCGCTGACGGGACAGCCGTTCGCGCACGTCGGGCATGGGCTGACGCACTCGGGTGGCTCGGGGTCGTTCAACTTCCCGTCGTGATGCGTGCGTGTGTGTGGACTGTGTAGATGATACCTCTGCGCGTTGGCGCGGTGACTCTTGGTGATCTTGCGATTGTTTTGGTTGTGTCTGACGTACATAGTATTTGTCGTAATGGCCGCTGTTGTGGTCGTCTTGTGGTGGGTGGATGGAAGATGGGATGATCTGGTGCACGGTTCTGTTTTGTAGATGTAAATAGCTATAGGTGGCGGCATTGACTTTGTTTGGGTGTCGCCCGGTTGTGTTAATATACTACTTTCTCTGCTGGGCGTGAATGAGCGGTGAGTGAATCGAGGACGAATAAACGTATGAAAATTGCATCGCCGAGATAGCTCAGCTGGGAGAGCAACAGACTGAAGTGTAGAGACAGTCACTGCATTCTGGAGGTCGGGTGTTCAATCCACCCTCTTGGCATAACATCTATGTGTGGGTTTTTTGTTTGAGTACCCGGACCCAGAACGCCAGCTTGTTCCTCACATACAGTAAGTACCACCGAATGAAAGGCGTGTACTTATGAATTCACGCTGGAGGAGTGCATCTCTCACTCATCCCGATATTCAACATCTCGCACTTGTCGCCGCTTTGTGCTTGCCATGGTACTCGACTCCTGACGCCTCTCTCCGCTCAGGACCTGTATATCTAGGTCTCATTCGTGCAAGATGCCTGCTTCTCCTTTTGTAGAACCGGCACCGCAGCTTCCGTTGGAAGACTATCGACGCTATGGCCGGCAGATGATACTTGACGGGTTTGGGCTCGGAGGTCGGAGCGCGCCGTGTACGAGAGAGGAGACGGTGTGTGCTGATGCTCTCTCTGCATAGGTCAGATCAAACTGCATCAAGCCTCGGTGGTCGTTGTCGGAGCCGGCGGACTTGGCTGTCCTGCTCTTCAGTATCTTGCCGCGGCGGGCATTGGTGCGTTTTCTTTTGTTTCGAGGATTTTGGTCGCGCAAGGCTGACGGGCGAGGGACAGGGACGATTGGTATCGTGGACCATGACACTGTCGAGATGTCCAATCTGCAGCGGCAGGTGCTGCATACGGAGGCGAGGGTGGGCGTGCCCAAGGCCCTTTCTGCCGCGGAGGCGATCAAACAGTATGTACTGTGCTACTCCTCCGCCCCCACTCTCTCATCAAATCTCGCCTGTGCTATGGTAGACTGAACTCGCGCGTGAAGGTGAAGCCGGTCACCGACGCGCTCACGGCGGCGAACGCACTCGAGTTGCTCGCGCCGTACGACCTCATCCTCGACTGTACGGATAATCTCCCTACGCGGTACCTCCTCTCGGACACTGCGGTGCGTTTGGGCAAGCCGCTTGTTAGTGGGGCCGCGCAGCAGTTCGAAGGCCAGCTGTGTACGTATAACCTCCCCCTGAAGAGCGACCCTGCGGGCAGTGCGGAAGAGCCGGGCAGGGGACCGTGCTTCAGGTGTTTGTTCCCGAAGCCGCCTGCGCCGGAGATGGCGGGGTCGTGCGAGGAGCTGGGCGTGCTGGGCGCAGTGACGGGTGTGATTGGGAACTTGCAGGCGTTGGAGGCTGTCAAGATTCTCACCGGGCTGTATGGTGCGTCCCCGACCTCCCGGTCTTACGTTGTTCTGCGGACACTCGGCTGACTGTTTGTGTAGATGGGAAGCCGTCGCTGCTGATGTTTTCTGCGCTTGGGATGCCACCGTTCCGGAGCGTGAAGCTGCGGTCGAGAAGGGCGGCGTGTCCGGCGTGTGGGGTGGAGGGCGAGACGGTGGGCAAGATCGAGGAGACGGACTATGTCGCGTTTTGTGGTGGCGAGCGGCCGGATTGGGTCGCGAGGGGGTTGGTGGAGGGTACAGAGGACAGTCGGATACGTGCAAAGGTGAGTATCATCACATACTCGGAGGCAAGATTCTGGGCTGACACCGTCAAACACGGTCAGGAGCTGAAGATGGCCCTCGACGACGCTGAACGCAGGCCGCGGATCTTAGATGTCCGTCCTCGGACGGAGTTTGGGATATGTCATATCCCTGGATCTACGAGTGAGTACTTGGACGCATGCCTGGGTCCGTCTTCTAACATTATCCGTGTCAGACGTCCCAATCAAAGAGCTACTTTCAAATCCGGATGCGGGTTGGACTGCAGACGAGGAGACCGTGTATGTGGTGTGCAGGTTAGGCAATGACTCTCAGCTTGCAGTAGATGCGCTGAGGAACGCGGGAAGGAAGGGAGTGGTCAAAGATCTTGTGGGAGGACTTCGGGCGTGGGCACAGGAAGTAGACGAGAGCTTCCCAATATACTAGGCAGAAGACTTCACAGCGGACTCACCGGACGGCGTGCGGAGGGCTGTTGACTGACTGCGGTGGAATGACCGACCAATGGTGGGTGTATCAAGAGGTATGTACTATGCGACGAGTGGAGGGTGCAATGTGTCAACCGCGATTCTATAGTGAGTCTGACGGTTGAGATTCGATGCGCTCTTTCTTGAGGCGGGCGACATATGTCCTGTTGATCATGTCGACTGGAGGAAACGGTGAGCACTTGGCCCGGGAGTCAGAGCGTTGGGAGTTCAACGTACATGCTTCCAGGTAGCGGTCCATGCATTGCGCGAGACATTTCTGGGATGACAGGGTTGGGGAAAGCAGCACGACGAGGGTAAGAGGAACACACCTGCTCGGAGCTGCTCAGGTCGGAGCCGGGTTTTGGGACGCACTTGACGTAGCACTTCTCGGTCAGTTTCTGTAACTTTTTCAGAACAATACACCACGATCCGAATCCTGAGTGGACGCACGCTCATGAGCTCTTGAGCATTCTGGAGCGCGACCTCGTTCCGGATCGAGTTTTTGAGGTTTTCGACCCGCGCTGCGGTCTCTGCGGGCGAGCTCGGGGTTGCGGTTGGCGTGCGGCTGGCACCGAAGAAGGAGGTCATCGTGGAGGCAGAGGTGGGAGACGAGCTGAGGTGGTCGAGCGAGAACAAGCCGTGACGCGCTCCCTGCTCGGCGCTTCGCAACTTTGCTCGCTTCGATCACCTCCCTCGCTTGGCTCTCTCTCTGGATCGGCAGTGGACTCGGCGTCGGAGGCTGCAGAGGAATACAAAAGCTAGACAAGAAGCATCGCACATAGATGGGCGCGCGCGAGTCGAGAGCACAGGGAGAGCAGGCTGACGGTGCGGCTGGGCCCCCCGACTACTATGCTCTCCTCGAGGTGGACGAGTCAGCCACCGCGGACGAGATCAAGGTGCGCAAACGTCTTCTCACTTGTTTGCAATGGCTAGCGGAAGCTGTCGCGCGGCTGGCTAGAGGCTGACCGGTCGCCCTGTAGAAATCCTTCCGGAGGCTCGCTCTCGTCCACCACCCCGACAAGAACGCGAACGATATAGAAGGCGCGACCAAGCGGTTCGCCGCCATACAGCAGGCCTACGAGGTTGGTCGGCTCGGAGTGCGATCGCGGACATGGCTCATGCGATTTGCAGGTCCTCAGTGACGAGCAGGTATGTCTCCGCCCGCTTCCTACGCTCCTTTCCCTGAATCTGTCATCGCGCTCTAGGAAAGAGCATGGTACGACAGCCATCGTGCATCTCTCATACCCGAACCGGACGCTGCGGACGTCTTCGAGGAGATCAGGAAGGGCGCACCCCCGCCTCGCGCGCGCGATCGCGGTTTGACTGTCCGGCATCTCGCGCAGTTCTTTGACCTCTCGATATACGATGGCTTTGACGATGGCCCAAATGTGCGTATTCCCTCCGTGATTGATGTCAGTCTTCTGACACGCCGACAGAGCTTCTTCACCATCTACCGCCACCTCTTCGACCGTCTGGCGCACGATGAGAAGCAGTATGAGAACGTCCCTCTTCCTTCGTTCGGAGATTCGACATGGCCATGGCTGCCACCGTCAAAGGAGGAAAAGGATAGATGCGCGCGGACGTTTTATACTCATTGGACGAACTTCGTGACGAACAAGGAGTTCGAATGGGCAGATCAGTGGAACCTCGCGGAGGCACCGGATAGAAGGGTTCGCAGGTGAGCAATGCTTGTGCACTGATATTGAGGAGAGCTTATCGAGCCATGGCCTGCTAGACTGATGGAGCGCGACAACAAGAAGGCGAGAGACGAGGCTAGGAAAGAGTATAACGAGACAGTGCGCGTACGTCTCGAACCTTTGCATGCGACCAAGTGACGCGGAGCTGATGTCGTTCGTTGTAGTCCCTTGCCATGTTCATTCGCAAGCGCGACCCGCGATACAAGACCCACATCGCACGGCAGGCACAAGGCCAGTCCACGCCGCAGGGCTCGCGCACGCCCAAACCTGCAACGTCCGGGACTCCGCAGCCTGTACCGCAGTTTGTCGAGCAGGACTGGCAGAAGCCGAATGTCCGCGACGACGCGGCAGACCTCGAGTGGGCGGCCGCGGAGGGTGAGGACGAGGAGTGGGAGTGCGTGGCGTGCGCGAAGAGCTTCCGGAGCGAGGCGGCGTGGGATAGCCATGAGAGGAGCAAGAAGCATATGAAGGCGGTAGAGGCGCTGAAGCGGCAGATGGAGCAGGAGAATGAGGAGTTGGGGCTTGCGGACGAGGACGAGGGTGAGGGCGCCGGATCCGAAGAGGAGGGAGAGCCCGAGAATGGAGATGCAGAGGAGGAACCGCCAGAATCGAGCGAGGAGGAGGAGATAGTGGCCGTCCCGGTTGAGGAGCCTGAGGAAGAGGTCGACAGAGCCCCTCCCGCAGCTGCGGAGGAGCCCAGTGTCGAGCCAGATAAGGAGGAGCAGGACGAGGATGGCGAGGACTTGCGTCCAGCGTCGAAGGCCAGGCGGAAGAAGGGCAAGAGCAAGCCTGTGCGACCGCCATCTCCCGAAGTCTTGTCAAGGACCGCAAGACGGACGCGCAAACGGGGAGGCGACCCTGCTTTGCATGACGACGATATCGTCGACAGTGGAGCTACGACGCCCAATCCTGAGCCTGTTGAGGAGGCTGGACCGGGGCTGTCCAAGAAGGAAAAGCGACGCGCGAAGGAGGCTGCGAAGAAGGCTGCTGCTGCTCAGGCTCCGCAGAGCGACAAAGTGGTACGTCGGTGCTCGATGATTGCCAGTCGTGCTTGCTCGCTGACTGCTCGATCTTTGGCTTGGATGTATGTAGGCGTGCAATGTGTGCGAGACGCAGTTCGCAAGCAAGACGCAGCTGTTTGCGCATCTGCGGGAGGAGCCGAGTCATGCACTTGCCTCGGGGCAGCCCGGGGGAGGTCCGAAGAGTAAAATGAAGAAGAGGTAGCTTTGGACTACTTCATAACCAGTTTACTAGTAGTACCCGTGGCTTTGCCCCGTTGCGCATGAGCCTGCGGCTCACCATGACCTTGCTTCGCCTCCGGCTCAGCTGAAATACGATTGAGATAAGTAGTCTGCGATGATGAGCGGCCCGCCGTGCAGAAGCAATGGATTAAGTAGATAACAACCCGTGGCCAAG